AATTGCTCTTATTATGCAATCTAGTATATTTTAAATTGCAAAATACTATTTTGAATGAAAATAAATTAACTTGCTTTCTTTTGATTTGGATGTTATTGTGGTAGTGGTGGGAAGCCATGATCGCAACCATTAGCCCAACAAAGAAACACAATAAATAATGACACCCAAAATAACCAGTTTTTGGAGGTTATGATGAAATTGTTCATTGGATTGCCACAAAACCATTAATATCAACTGTCTGAATTACTTTATGGTTGAAATTATTGTGCTACCCCGAATGTTGTTGCATAATTGGTGTATGTGGTTGGTTAGTCCACTATTTTTCTCTTAATATTTTTTGTCTTAGTTTGTGTATGATCTAAATGTAACTATAAATGTAACTATAGTGTAAAAATACCATATAAAAAAATATAGAGAAGTTATTTGGGTATATGACCTTATGCATTGTGGAAAATATCAATACAGTCTCATTCTTGATTTAAAAGTAAGTTATTTTAGTATTTTTCATTATGAATGCATTGAAGCCATTTAATTTTAGGGTATATATTTTTAACATTTTTCAGAGATTCTAATAGTAAACTATTTTTCTTTAATATTTGTAATTCTACTTCTACAATTTACTATCATAAATAAAAATATCAATTTTCTTTGGATAATGATAGGCATGCACACCAAATTGATACCCTACCCATCACACATGCAAAACGGTGGAAAAAAAAATAATGCTTTATCTTGATAAACATTGATCCTTAAGTTGTCTAGAGCAGTCTGAAATTTGGACTTATTTCTCCAAAAACACCCCTATGAAGCATGATCACCTTTCTTCTCCATTTCTCCCTTGGCCTTTGCCTATAGCATATTGTTGTTGAGCCAGCGTTGATGACATGTGCCTTCTCCTCCCTTTCTTCTTCATTTGACTTTTCTTCTTCTTTATCACCATCTTCTCCACTTCCCCCCTTCTTGATGTCGTAATGTGTCGACCTCGTTCAATAGAGGAGGAATATAGATCTAGGTTTCCACCCACCTTCTTCTTTAGAAGTCCCTTCCCTTTCTCAGATCCGGCTCATCTCCTCTCCCTTTTTCTTCATATTTGGGCTCTCTTGAACTTTGTTTATTTTCAATTTTTTTTCCATCATTTGTTTCTTGTTTAATTTGTGGATTTTGTTTATTTTTAGTGGAGGGAACAAAAGAGAAATAGTGTAGTGAGAATGGCGAAGTCCAAGCTACAAATTTGGTGGCAAAAGAAAGGGTGTTTGGGGCTTAAATTGACGGAATTTCTAAGCAAAGGTCTCCTATTTCATTTTTGCAAGTTTCCATCGCCAATCTCATCCCTGCTGCAATAGACCGTAAGGCAGCTAGTTGAGAAATAAGAATCAGGGTTCTCGTTATCGTCTATTTGGAACTAGGAATAAAGCATAGCTGGGTGAATGGCTGTAGGGTTAAGTTATTCATCTCCTATTCTTAATCGTGTATATTTTAAGAAATGTACCTAACTGGGTATTGAATTGACTTGTACGCGAATCATTATCCATTCTCTTTTGCTC